GACTGGAGGTGACATGGAGACCTTCCCATGGCCATGACTGGAGGTGACACAGGGACAACCCCAGTGGCTGCAGCTGCCTTCCCACGCACCCAGCAGAACCGTGGGCCATGGCAAGCAGAGCCCAGGGAGCAGAGGGAGAGGACAGGAGAGGTTAGGAAAACACCCATTAAACCACAATAACATTTAATGACCTGATCGGAGGAGAGCAAATTACCCCTTTGAAATCCAGTCACCACGAAAAAGCAAATGACATCCAGGGATATGAATTAACTGAGATATTGAGGTGGGGGGAAGAGGGGGGTGAAGCACTTGTAGGGCAGCACACGGACACGGGGCTGCTATCTGAGCACTCACGTTTCCCACAGCCCCATTTCCCATGGGATGCACCCAGCTGGGAGCAGGGCTGGGCGTAATGATGGCAGCACAGCAGGGCTGGTGTGGGGCCAGGAACTGCTCTGCTAGGATGCAGAACAGCCTCTCTCCAGGAGAGAACAGGTTGGGTAACCCCACAGCTCTGCAGTCAGAGGAATGAGCTCAATGGATACGAGCTGGGATTCTACGAGCACTTGGGAAGCCGGGTGCAAGCAATGAGTTTAATTAAACCAGGGCAATCACATCAAAGCTGGTCCCTGCGCAGATACCTTTCTTAAATGGCAGGAATTAATTAATGAGTTTGAGTTAAACATGTTCCCTCCTTATTGGAGTGCAGCCTGAGCGTATTGGAGGTGCTGGCAGATTTGGGAACAGTTCAGCTGCTGCAGAGCAGTGGCTCCTTTGCCACACCTGGGGTCTCAGAGCTCTCCAGCAGGAATAAAGCATGGCAGCCCCCTGAGGTTGGGGTTCTTCTGCTGTGTGTGGGGCTGTGCTTATGGGATGCTGCTGTCTGGAGCAGGGTGTCTGTAGATCTCCTCCCCTTGAAGCTTCCTCTGTGGTTTCCTGGTGCCTTGGAGGATGGCAGAAGTGGGGCTGGTCCTGCTTTAAGTCCAGCTGTAGTGGCAAAGCACTGAGGATTGGAGCTGCTTGGTGAGCCCAGCTGGGCCTGGCCACAGTACAGGTGAGTGGGGCACACAGCTCCCCTGGTGTTTGGCTGTGTCTGCTTGCAGGTAAAAAGCCTCATTTGGGCTATAAAGCAGCTTCTTATGGTCAAGCTGCACCTTTGGGATGTTCATTAAAAACTTGCCTGTGTTTTCCCCTCCAACTCAATAGGATGCTGTCTCAATGTGTTCTGCAGCAGTGCTGATGTTAAGAAATCATTTCAGGTGAAGCCCTGACACTGCTGAAGTCAATGGCCCAGTTCCCTCAGTGCTGGTGTAACCCAGACCCTCTGTAGTCCTTCCCAAAAGCTGCTTTGCTGCTCGAGTTTTTCAGCCATGCCTTGCAGGGAAGATTTTGTTTCCCTTTGGAAAGCATTTTCCTTCACTTTTAGCTTAGTGATTTGGTTCCTTGAAAGCAGGCAGGAAGCCATTGAGGAATGTTCCCCTTTTATTTCCAGATAAGTTTAATTTTCATCTCTGTAGGATGAGGAACTGTATGGAGCACCTGCAGCTGCTATCCATCACAGCAGCAAGCAAATCAAATGGGGGGAATTTCAGCTCTGCCTGACATCCTCCCATCCTGAGCCTGCAATATCAGGTGGGGTTGATGTAAGGAGCAAAGCTCCTCTGTGCTTTAAGGCTGCATGGGAAGAGCTCAGCATGGCCCCTGCAGCTCTGCTCTCCCAGGGGGTGAGGGATAACTTCAGTAAGTCTCAAAGCAGCTGATGTCCCTGGGGCTGTTCCCCCTGTGCTGCCCTCCAGTAAGTTAAGCAGTGCTCCTTTCCCTGCAGCTCTGTGCACAAATGCATCCTTTGCTGGTTAGCTGAAGCCCTGTGCCAGGTCTTTCTCTAGCTGCTCCCATGCACCAGCTGCTTTTCCTACTGGGGGTGGAAAATGCCTCGTGGGGTTTTTCCTTGTGTGGAGGGAGGAGCATCCTTGGGATCCTGTGGATGTGCTCCTCCTGGTTACAGCAGAGATGGAAACCTCGGAGCCCCATGCCCTGAGTTCACCTTCTTCTGGCTGATGTGGCCCCTTTAGAAGTGACGCTGTACCCCAAAGTCCCTCCTCTGGGGACTTATGAGCACTTAGGATGCCCGGAAAGAGGATTTATTCCTGGTGGCTCCTTGCCAGGGGCTGGGCTGCTGCCTCCTGACCCCGCAAGGCTGCCCCTGGTGACACAGCCCCAGGGTCTGGCATGGGAAAAGACGTCAAGGCTGGGAGAAATGGGGCCATGGCAGATGAGGTGCCTGCCGGGTTCAGCCCTCCCCTGGTTCCAAACCCTGCAACCCAAAGCCCTAAGGAGTTTGGGGTGGAGGAGGCTGTGAAGCCCCAGGTTTGGAGGTGAGGTGGTGGGGGGGACCTTCCTTGTGCTCCCCAGCTTCTGTGTCCCCAGGTGAAGGTGCCAGCAGTGCCCTAAGCAAATCCTGGCAGCAGTGGGAGCACACCAGTGTGTTTGTGTAGCTGAGGGCTTCAAGGAAGGGGCAAGTGTGTCATCAGGTTTCTTCTGAGAACATTTTTATTGCTGCTGCAGTCGTTTCCCACCGAGGTTCCCTGGGTCCTGAGGTCAAGTGCTGGGCTTGGAGCCACGGGGCTCAATCCAGCAGCCATCCTCCATGCACCAGGGCTGGGTGCTGAGCAGGGAACTGCAGCAACGAGAGCTGGGAGCCAGCAGCACAACTTGTATGAAGGAATCCTTTGCTGTTGCAGTTCTTGAGCAGTTCAGCTTGCTGTCTGCATCACCTGTGCATCCCCACCCTGTGCTGCTTGGGTACCATGAGCTGTGCTCCTGCACACTGCAGTGATCACATTGTGCCTGGCCAGGCTGTAGCTGCTTATACAACTGCAACGAGCTCAGCTGTTCTGTGCACAAATGTCTGCTCCCTCACTGGGGTGAGAAAATGAGGGGGAGACTTTTCCCTGTGCTCAGAGCAGCCCCCGTGAGGACAGCATTTGGTAGGTTTATGGCCAAGGAGCTGCGTTTGCCATTTCCACCCTCAATCCTAGAGGAAATCCCCATTCCTCTATTCCCCTCTTTCTCTGCTCCTTAGCAGCACAGCTCAACCAGACCTGAGCCACCACCCCATGTGTCCCCACCACTGTCCATCTCTCCTCCCTGGTGGCAGCAGGCATTTGGCCCATGCCTTGCATGCAGTGTGCTGTTGGTGCTCAGGGCTGACACAGCAATGCCATCAACTGTGGAGAATGGAGGGGAGGTTATCAGCCCCCAGCTATCCACAGCTGCCCTTGTTAGCCCTGATAACTGGCTGTGCCCACCTACAATCATGATGCCCTCAGCCAACTGGGAGGAGAAACCCACAGGGAGGCAGAAAGGCAGCCTATAAAACATTCTCTCCTTGGGGATGTGGAGAAGTCTCTGGTGAAGGAGGAGGCTGCACTGGGAGCACAAGATGCTGGCAGGAGGCAGCAGGAGGCTGCAGCAGTGTCTGCTCGTCGTGGCCATTGCATGGAGTGCCGGCTTCTTCCACTCACCAGCCCTGGCTTTGCAGAGGTAGAGTTGTTGCTAAAGGAGCACCATGTGCTGGGTTTTGCCATCTCCTTGTTTGCTTGTTTTTTGGTATTGAGGACCACAGAGCTCTCTTCTCTGTTCCTCCAGGCTGCTGAGAAACACCTTCCCTTCTTCTCCTCCTCTTCTCTCTGGCACTGAGCATACCTCACCCTCCTTGCTTCTCTTCCCCTCTCCCTCTGAGCGCTGCATAGCACAGCAGCACCTCTCCTTCCATTCCAACCTCCGAAGCCAGCACGGCGCTTTCCACTTGCAAAACCAACGAGCTGAGCCTCAGCACATCACGAACCCCCCGTTGTGTGCGGGGCAACCCTACAGCACCGTGTCCCATCCCCGTATCCGCGCATCCCTCCGCTGGGCCGGGACCCGGCGGGCAGCTGCTGCCACCTAGAGCTCGGATCTTCCAGGGCAGGGAGATGCTGCCTCCTGGGGGTGTCCCACAGCCCCCTCCCCTGCCCGCAGGATCGCTCTGCGGAGGATGCCTTCCATCCGGCAGACGCTGCAGGAGATGGGCGTGAAGGTGGCCGACGTGTTTCCCGAGCTGCGGCAAAGGCGAGGCGGGGCGGGCGGCCCCCAAAACGGAACGGCTCCCACCCTCCTCACCAACTACCTGGATGTGAGCCCCTCCCCACGCACGGAATGTTTGTTGCCCCACCTCACGGGTTCTATCAGCCGCAGGCGGACCCAGCCCGAGTCATTCTGCCGGCGCTGTGCTTCTTCCAGACGCAGTATTACGGTGAGATCAGCATCGGCACCCCCCCGCAGACCTTCAAGGTGGTCTTTGACACGGGCTCAGCCAACCTGTGGGTGCCGTCCTGCAAGTGCTCCCCACTCTACAGCGCCTGCAGTGAGTGCTGGGGGTGGGAGGGGGGACACTCCATCCTCACCCTTTGGTTTTCCAGTGGATGTGGGCAAATCCCTTCATCTCAAGGGATGCACGGAGCTCTAGCTGGCCCTGCTGCCCCCTCCCTTGCTGTTTCTGATGCCTTCCTGCCTCTCCCCAGTTTCCCACAGCCGCTATGACTCCTCCAAGTCACGGACATACATAGCCAATGGTACAGGCTTCTCCATCCGCTACGGGACAGGCAGTGTCAAAGGCTTCCTCAGCCAGGATGTGGTCATGGTGAGAGCACACCCTGAATTTTGGAGCAGTTGGCTCTGCTCCCCTTATGAGCACAACCATTTACCCGAAAGTATGGGAGCTCTGCTGGGTTTTACCCCACAATCTCCCAATGCAGAGACCCTTGTGCCCTCCCCAGGTATCGGACATCCCCATCATCCAGGTCTTTGCTGAGGCCACGGTGCTGCCTGCATTCCCCTTCATCTTTGCCAGGTTTGATGGGGTCCTGGGCATGGGTTACCCCAGCCAGGCCATCGATGGCATCACCCCTGTCTTCGACCGGATCCTCTCCCAGCAGATCCTCAAGGAGGACGTGTTCTCTGTCTACTACAACCGGTGGGTTTCAAGGTGCGGAGGGGGTTGCTTTGCAGGGCTGGGCATTGCAGCCTCAGCGTGCTGGGGATGCAGCTTGGGACTGTGAAGAAGCTATGGCTGGGGCTGTGGGACCCAGGCTGGGTGAAATTTTCCTGCAGGAGATGGGCTGGAATGAGGCAGCACAGGAGGCAGATGCACGCCTAAGTAGAGTCTGTAGCTCTTTATCCCATCTAAAGATGGATTCTTTAATAATGAATGAGTCCCAAGGATGCTAGCTGCCATTGCAGCCTGGTCTGGTTGCTGTTTCAGTGCCCTTGGCACTTTGGGATGCAGCCACCCACAGACCACAGGCTCACAGAACATTTCTCTCTTTGCAGAGCTTCAAAGTAAGAAGATGAAAAGCGTGAGCTCTCTGGAGGCAGCACCCACTGCCAGCACCACAGACCCCAGTGCTGGCTCCTATGAGCTCCAGCCCTGGGCTCTGCCCTCACCTGTCCTCAGCACCCACCTGCCCCAATCCTCACCCCTGTGGTCTCACATCCCCCCTCACTAAACCAGGATGGCTCCTGCTTTGCCACTGCTCACCAGGCTGACAGCACTGCATGCTCCCTGCCCCAGGAACCCCAAGTGAAGGAGGGTCACCCCACTGTGCTTTGCACCCTAGGAATTCTCCTTTGAAACCCGGTGGGGAAATCATCCTGGGGGGCACTGACCCAGCCTACTACACTGGGGACTTCCACTACCTGAGCATCAGCAGGAACGGGTACTGGCAGATCAGCATGAAGGGGTGAGGATATGGGGCACATCATCCAAATACTGCCCTGGGCACATAAAGGTGGGCTTGGGAGAATGGGGCTGTGGGCAGTGGGATGCTTTGTACTCTAAGAGGGAAAGGGAGTGGGGTCGGTTCTTCCAGCACAGAGCTGCACTATGATGATGTTCAGCTCATCTCACAGTGCTGGGGAATGCAGAGGGGGAGGCACTGTGGGTTGATTTCCCTTGGAAGCTGCGGTGGAAGAATTTAACCCCTGTCAGCCTGCAGGAGCAGCGTGAGATGCTGAAACAATTCTGCTTTGTTTAGCTTAAAAAAAAAAAATAATAAAATAAAATACCACCACTGAGACCAACAAAAGATACATGATGAAGCCTTGCTTTCGTATCTGAGGAACTTGAAGGGAGTGATCCCAGAGGGGTTGTGTGCTGGAGGCACTGGGATCAGCATGTGCTCTGCCCAGCTGCTGCTTCTGAGCTGCGAACATCACGAGAGATCAGGATTCCCCTCTGTCCCAGGGTGTCTGTAGGGGCTGAAATCTTGTTCTGCAAGGAGGGCTGCTCAGTGGCCATTGACACCGGAGCATCCTACATCACTGGCCCAGCCGGCCCTGTGTCTGTGCTGATGAAAGCCATTGGAGCAGCAGAGATGACTGAAGGAGAGGTGAGCAAAGCCCAGCTGCATCCCCACGTTCTCCCCAGCCCATCCTCAGGCTCAGCGCTGCCTCCTCCTCCTCCTGCAGTACGTGGTTGACTGTGAGAAGGTCCCCCAGCTGCCCAACATCTCCTTCCACCTGGGTGGGAAGGCCTACACGCTCAGTGGCTCAGCCTACGTCCTCAGGGTAAGCTGTGTTCCTGTGTGAGGGCAGGGATGGGACACTGGTGGGGGTGCACTTATCCCTGCATCCCTGCAAGCAGTCACAGAGTGATGCAGCTCGCTGTTTCTCCACGCTCTCACGTGCAGCAGAGATGTCCAGGTGAGGCAGAGCAGCCCACTGCTGCTTCCTTGGGTTGGGGGATATATGGAGCCAGCAGAGCCAGGCAAGGGCAACCCTCTGTGGTAGAAGGGAAATCAAAGCCAAGCACAGGGCACGTGTTGAGCTGGAAATCTCCCTCCTGCCACCTCTTCTACCTTAGAGTCTGCTCCTCTCTGCAGCAAACCCAGTACGGGGAGGACATCTGCGTGGTGGCTCTCTCAGGGCTGGATGTCCCACCCCCGGCTGGACCCCTCTGGATCCTGGGTGCCAGCTTCATCGGGCACTACTACACCAAATTCGACCGTCGCAACAACCGCATCGGCTTCGCCACCGCCCGCTGACCGCCGGGGGGGGGCTGGGAGGCAGCTGGGAAGCAGGGAGCATCGCTGGGGTGAGAGCGATTCGACACGCAAACGAGAGCAGCGCTTCCTTAAAGCACAGCCACCTCCTCTCTGCACTGAAGCAACTGCAAATCCTCGCGTTCTCCCACTCCAAAACCCCCGCTCTGCTTCCCGAGAGCCTCCGCTGCCACGGAGGGGAGAGCGGAGCCCGGGAGCATCGCGCTGAGGAATCAAAGCGGGATCCTGCAGCTGGAGCTGCACCTCCGGGGGCTTTGCAGGGTGATATGCGTTGCTGCTGGCTGGGGCAGAGGAGCTTTGCAGGTTGTAGACACTGTGGAGCGATGTTTGGTTGCTGTTCTTAGATGGGAGGCAAATTAATTGGTGTCATTAGGCTGCTTACAGCGATGGTTCTTTCAGCTGCTGTTAACCCTGCCCCTCTCTGCAATTTAATATTAAACAACCCCAGAGCAGCAGGAAGCTGAGCGTTCTGCGAGGAGGGAGAAATGAGGAAAAGTTCCCTTATGGGAACTGGGGAAGAAGTGTTCTCTGCTGGGATCCACCGCTGTGCTTTAAGCAGGCAGCGCTGCAGGCTGCTCTTCCCTGTTGTGTCAGAGAGCTGAGAACCAGCTGCAAATCTGAGCCCATCCCAAAGCCAAGCAGTTGGCAATGTTCTCATCTCCCCCTGCTTGTGAGCACAGCTGAGCCCTGGGAACACACCTGTAACGAGCACAGCACCGTGCTGCAGGAGCTTCTCCTCCTCACCCTGCCACCAGCAATGGCTGCTGATTTCCCAGAGTGAATCCCGGCGATGGTTGGGAGCAATTCTCCTTCCAGCACAGCATGGGATGCTGCCAGCCAGGCTGCAGCCTTGCCAGCCTCCTTTCCTGCAAGGCCCAGGCTCTGAGCAGTGGCCAAGCTGCCAGTTTTTGCCCTTGGCAGGGTGTTGGGCAGCGTGTAGCCAAGCTTGAGTATTTAAACCTCTTAGCATCAAGCTGTGCATCCCTGGGATGGGGAAGGCACCCTGGGTGCTTCTCACTGCTTTCCATCCCCTTCTGCAGCACTGTGAGGCGGGGAGAAGGGTGAGGATGGCTCTCTGGGGGGGCAGATGGAAGTGACCCCCCCCTCCCCACCCGCTCTCACCCGGTGCTTCCTGAGCACTGTCACAGCATTCAGCTGCCCTGCAGCACAGGAAACCCAGGGAATGGGGAGAGGCAGCCGCGGGGGGGGGGGGGAGGGTCTACACGGATCAGCTCTGGAGCCACAGCCTTACAGCCACAGGGAGATGCTTGAAAGCTGTGGGGCCCATCTGAGACAGGACGCACCTTTGGGTCTGGTTCTGCTCCTTTTCAGTGCAGTGGCTCGGAGCAGCAGGAGAGAAAAACGTTTGGGCTGCTGCTGGCCCTTCAGCCTGGCCATTAGCACCTCTAATAGCCTGTGCCAGGGCCATTTCCTGGTGCCTGCTGTGCAGAGCTGGCTGCAAGGCACTGCTAACCCGCAACTGCCCCGTATTAACACTTGTGATCGTTACAGGCGAGCAATTAGGCCACGCTCGGCCCAGCAAAGAGACCGGAGCAATTACGGCCATCCTATTAAAACTGACAGCGCTCGCTCTATATATAGCAACGCAGGGAACTGGTTTATTTTCTTCCCCTTCCTTGAACGATTTTCCCCAAGTCTCCATGGTCCATTTAGTCGGCTGCAGCCGCAGCCAGCTGTAAACTTTGGAGGGGGCATTCTGTGCTCGGAGCCGTTGTTATTTCCTATGATAATGAACTGAGGCTGCTGTGGTGTCAGGGGGGCCAGCGGGGGGGGTGATGCTCTGTCTTTAACCACTCAACCTCTCTGCAGCTCGCCTGTAAATCCCAGTTGATGGGAGGTGAGTGTATTGCCTGGGTCCGGAGAGGACAGCAATAGAGAACTGATGGAGATTTTAAGATTGTAGAATAGGATTTTTTGATTTGGAAGGGTCCCAGATGTCAGCTTTTGGATTGGATGGGACCCACTGAGTGCAGCTCCTGGTGGAGACGATAGAATTACAGAATATCTTGATTTGAAAGGCACACAGACAAATCGGCCGAGCCCAACTTTTGAGCTGGAAAAGACTGCCTGGATCCAACTCCTGGCTGTGCATCACCGATCATAGGATGCCACCCATTACCTCAGGGCACAACCTGCACCTCGGGGTGCCGCATCCCCTCCCACCCCCATCCCGACCCCCTGCCGCAGCCCTGCTCCAACCTCCTTCAGCCCCCATTTAAGCCCCAAAGCTCAACCCCGATCCCAAATCCCAGCCGCAAAGCTCCGAGCTGACCAAATCCCCCAGAAACGTCAGCGCTGCCGAGAGGCTTCGGAACGCAGCCCGCAGGTGCGCGGGGCGGAGATGCCCGGAGGCGGCGAGCGCAGCGTTCGGAGCGGGGCCGGTGCGGGGCCGGTGCGGGTCCCGCTGACCTCACAATGCGGGCGGGCGCTGGTGCGGGAGGCGGGCGGCGGGAGGCGGGCCGGTGACTCATGGCTTCCCAACGGCGGGCGGCTCCTCCCCGCGGCCGCCGGCCCCGCGGCAGCCCCCGGCACATGGGCCGCGGATCGGGGCGCTCGGAGCCGGGGATGGCCGTACCGCCCGGCCGCTGCCCGGATTGCTGGGATACGGAACGGGGAGGAGGTGGAGGTGGAAGTCGTGGGGTTCCCGGCGTGCTTCAGCTCGGTGTGTTGGTGGATGAAGGAGACGTGCTGCCCGGAGCGCTGCGGCTGATGCGGGAACTGAGACCCAGCTGGGAGCCGGCCAGGGTGAAGACCAAGGTACGGGGGGTGCACGGAGGGGGTTCGGTGGGAGGGGCTGTAGGATGCTGTAGGGCCTGACGTGGAGGGTACGACACACCGGTGCCCTGTTCTCTCAGGGGCTGAGCAGGTGTGCAAAGCTCTTGCACACCGAGCCCCCCCACGCACAGGCTCTGGGGACACCATGGGGAGCCACGGAATGAGGACTGTGGATGCAGAAAGGTCTCTCGGGGCTGGAGGTTGGGGGTCGTGCTGTCAACCCCCTGCATTACCCCACAGGTGCTGCACTGCATGGCAGTGCCACCGGACACCACACGTCACAGCTGCAGGGCTCATGTGGCTTAGCAGCAGGCTTGCGCTTTTACCAGGTTCCTTTGCACAGAGCAAGTTGGGATGGGTGCTGACATCCTGCATGGAGCAAGGCTCACCTGTCCCAAGCTGGCACAGCAGTTCCTGGGAATCAGCAGCCCCCGTCCTCCTCCTCCAAGCCTCTGCTCAGGTGTGGGGTGCAGAAAGGAGGCAGCTGGGGGCTGCAGCACCGTGGGATGCCTTGGGATTGGCATGGAGCAGGCAGGCAGCAGAGCTGGATGCACTCAACCACGCGTACGTGTGCATGCATGTCCTCTGAAGGCACACGCTTCCTGTGTGCCTGGAGTGCCATTAAAAATGTATTAATAGCCAAGTGTAATTAAATCCAAGAAGCTGCAGGAAAATACATACGAAAGGGCAGATGGTAAGGGACAGGAAGCTTGGAGTTCGAGTTCCTCAGGCTGCATAGTTGGGAGGGCAGGAAATGTCCCAGGCACTGTGCAGCACCTCGCACAGCTCTGTGGTGCTTATGGGGAGCCTGAAAGGAGCAGGAGCACAGCTTTGTGGTGGCCAGGTTCTGCCCAGGAATGGAGTTTGCTTTCAGCAGCAGCTTGCGCGTGTTGTGTTTTTAATTTAGAAAAGACCAAAAAAAAAAGAAAAAAAAAAAAAGAAGAAGAAAAGAAAACTTAGGAGACATCAAGGGGAAATCCTCCGGTTGCATTTCTCTCTGCAAGAGGTATTGGGAGAGGATTGGAGCAGTGCGTTGTTCTCAGCTGGTTCCTATTAGCGTTCCTGTTAGCTTCCCTCTGCAGACTGGAGCAGTGCCTGGTTCACACCGCCTCGGTGTGCAGTGTTGGGGCACAGCTGCCTGCAGGGACTGTACCAGGCTGTGCCTGCAGCATGGAAAACCCTCCCAGCGCTTGGGACAGGGTGCAGAAAATAAGGAGGCCGGGTGCTCATCCAACTGCCAAGCTCCTCAGCCCCATGCACTGCATGTTGTGCTGCTCCTCGTCCTTTTGATTCTGCTCCCTGGGCAGCAGTATCTCCATGCTGGTGTGGTGTCACAGTGACTCAACCAGCATAAATACCTCCGAAGGGAAGCAGCAACGCTGAAAGGATTCAGGCATGGCAGAGGGCTCTGCTGTCCCTCCTAGGATTTGTTTTAGCTTTAACTTTGGCAGCAAGGTGCTCTGCTGCAATAAGGGCCAGCGCTGCTGTGGTGTGGTTGGTGCTCAAGGAGAGCCAGCGTGGGCATGGGGACACAGGGCTGCAGGAGGGGGCAAGCAGGCACAGAGCTGCACCTCTTCAGTATCTTTGCACAAGGCTTGGGGCTGCTGCACAGCTCCTGGTGCACTTGCACTTGCTTTCCCCTTACACACACACCGTGCATGAGCATGCAGGTTGCTGCTGAGCCATGTGCGTGCAAGTCTCCAAAATCAATGGCCTGGAATTCAAAGGGGATAAGGCTCTGTAATCCCATTAAATCCACTGGAAAGGGGTGATGGGGCCATGAGGCAGCAAAACAAGGCACTGCATGTGGACCTGGCATGGAGGCAGCGCTGAGCACCTCGAGGAGGAGCTGCTCACCTGTAGATGCACACGTGCAGCTGGCAAACGTTGGCACAGCGCTGCAGCATGTGCTGCATGCTGCATTTCTGGAGCCTGGCAGGGCAAGAAGAGCTGAAATCGTGGTGGGAACACAGATTGGCCGGGTAGGAACTGCAGCTTGGTTGCTTGCAGCATCACCCTGCCCAGCTGCGGGTGTGAGGATGATGGACACCGCAGCCCGTTACGCCTGGCTGTGTAATTCCAGTGCAGAGTTTCCCTCGGCAGGCTGCACAGGGAAGCCCTATATATAGGCACCCCACACAGGAGCGTGAGTTGCCGAGTGAGCCAGCTAAAATTAGCTGTCCCACCCCCGAGCATCGCTGCTCCCTACCACGCACCCTCCAGCATCGCACCGGCTCCGTCTCGCCAAACAGCAAGGAGACAAAGGGAGAACGCACCGGGGATGCTTCCCCTCTCTGTGGCCGAGCATCCTGCCTTTGTGATGGGAACCCAAACCCCTCGTAATACCCATGGAGATGGCGGCTGCTCCGTGCTGCGGCCCAAGGCAGGGTGAGGACCCCGGCGCGGGAGGAACGGGGCCCGCATGTGCGCGGGCAGGCGGCCAAATCGGGGCTCCGGGAGAACAAAACTCTCTTTCCATCTGTGAGGAACCATCAGAGCAATGACAAGAGACGTCCCCAGCAGAGACGTCCCTGCCTATCAGCGACTCGTGGCCCCGCGGGGTGGGTCAGGAGGAGGAGATGGGGTGGTGGTGTTTGCTCAGCCTTGTTTGCTGTGCCATCGGTGGTTTCTGCCAAAAAGGTTTTTTTGGGACCGGTTCCCAGGGTCACTGAGATGCCGGGTGTGCTCACAGCACATCTCACCGCCCCTGAGCAACAAGGTGAAAAACAGCAGTGAGTTTCCCCCCAGAAACGCTCGCAGTTTGGTGCAGCTGAAGCCTTGTGCCCATGCAGGTTGTGCCTGACCCCGTGCAATCTTGTGCCACCTCCCACAGGAGCTTTTCCTGCTGTCCTGCTGCTCCGTGTTCCCCTTTCCCCATTGCCTGTAACTGCCACTGCTGTATCTGTGCCATGAGGAAGGGGGTTCCCAGTGCCCACCCCGCATGGCAGGGACGTGCGGGCATCGCTCTGCCGCCCCTTCTCCCCTGCAGCTCTTCACCGACGGCATCACCAACAAGCTGGTGGCCTGCTACACGGACGAGGACATGGCAGATGCAGTGCTGGTCCGTGTCTATGGCAGAAAGACGGAGCTCTTCGTGGACCGGGAGACGGAGCTGAGGAACTTCCAGGTGCTGCATGCCCAT